GTGTGTGTGTGTGGGGGGGGGGGAGGTACTGGTGAATAACTTCATAATAATACATTCATGATATCCGGAATGACCTTATATCATATCATATCTATAGATTTCAAAAGCCAATTAATTAATTATTTACATGTCATTTACATTAATTATAACATGTCATTATCACATACATCTGTTATGTCATAACATTATGAAACTATCCTTGTCATAAAATTCCCAATACAATGCATGAAAAATAGCAACAGTGCCTCTTGAATCCTAAGGTTCGATCCCTGCAGTGGACACAGCGCAGGTAGCTCATTGTACAGCTCTGTGCTTAGTAAAAAACTAACGTACACTCCTTCGTGACTATCTTCTTCTGCTTTTATTGGAATCATTATAGTATTATCACTTGATTGTCATCTCAACAAATTTGATGTCTCCTCATTTACCAAAATATTATGAAGTTAGGTCATTTTGTCACATCAATACATCATAAGTGATTAAGTTTTATTCTGTCATTCATTGCTGATAAGAAAAAAAAAGAAACAAAGTTTCCGTGATATTTCGCAGAAACTTCTCTCCGTATTCACTTTTATCACGTCAGATACGTGCTATATCCGAGTATTGCTAGTCGATGCTTCTTAGTGTCTGTATCATATAAGTCACAGAAATGTTCGGTTTTGCGGGGTACCTTACTTCTCGATACATAAATAAAACATAACATGAAGCTTACTCGCAGTGACAGTAAAAATATATTAATTAAGCATAGTAAAATTATATATATATATACATATAAAACAAATATTCGTACTGAGTATATCGTGGCCTACAAATGAAATCTCAACACTAAAACATTTTATTTCTTCATTTTCTACTTCTTTCTCAGGTGTTATCACCGTGACTAAGCACCTAGATTATGAAGATATACAGGATTATTTTTTAACTATTGAAGCTAAAGATGGAGGAACCTCACCACTTACAACTCATGCTACTGTAAATATCTCAGTCATAGATGCCAATGACAACGCTCCCATTTATAGTCAGGCATCTTACCAAACCATTATTCGAGAAGATGCTTCAGTGGGAGACAGAATCATTCAGGTAATTGCAAGTGTTATAAAGTAGATATTGGTGGTATTCAGTATCGCCCCCGGTAAAATTACATTCCAATAAGGATCACGATAGTGGAACATAAGACTAATTAGATAAGATTACGTTCTATATGTATAACATCTAAGTGGGATGCAGAATTAATCCAATTTAGTTTACGTTCTATAAGGAATTTGTAAATAACAAACAGAATCGCATCAGCAAGAAAAAAAAAGCATTTAAGTAAATTTGAATTCCCTGAAGGACGCAACTTTCAATTACTTTAAAAGTCATTAGTGACATGAAAAATGAAGTAATTCAGTTAGACTTCAGTTAAATAACAAAAGCATAAATAAAATACATAGCCTTTCAGGTAAGTTTCACGCAAGTTTTAATTATAAAATTAACGTTTCAGTTATTTAAATGGTAAATTTCAGTTCAACAACGAATGTATTAATAGTATCCAGAACCAGTCAGGTAAGTTTCAATGCGATACAGCACGCATCATTAGGATGCTAAATCATTGTAAATGAATTCTAGCTAAAAAGAACAGTAGTAGCTGATTACCGAATAATACGATTTGGCTCACATTAAACACGGAACCTTTCAGTTGAATTGTCCATTATTTCAAAAGGTTTTGCCTTCTCTGAGAAACAAATAACTAGCATACAATTTCATAAAGGTGGAACAGTGGTATGTTTGTGGATTTGTACCGCTAGAAACTTGGGTTCGATACCCGTGGTGTGCAGTGCACAGATAGCCTTTTGTGTAGCTTTGTGCTTAATTACAAACAACAACATAAAGGTTCTTTTTATTATCTTTCTATTCCATCTTATTCTACGTCAGTTGGTTATAGAATCATTCCGGTCGATTTATGTTTTTAAGGAACGTGGATACATTATTCAGAGTAGTTTTATATTTTATAAAAAACATTTAACTTGGATACAGAATCATTTAGCCTTTTAGGTAAGCCTTATAATTCGTAAGATACGCACCAATGATAAGTGCATACTGTATAAGGAACGTATCAACGTAATACAAAATTTGGATCATTATTGAATTATTTTGTGTGACGCAAAAATATCCGTATAATTTTAGCTGAAAACACCTAATTCACTGAAATGGATATTTGTTGTTAGTTACTAAGAAATGAGGCGGACATGTTTTACTGGTTATAGTGCCAGGATTCATGGTCCATGACCTGTTGCCGTAAAAATGCGCTTCACACTTTGGGGTTACGGATGCGTTATAAAAGTAATGGTCAAATCTCACTATTCACTTAAACAAGAGCAGCCAAAAAGTTGGCGGCTGGTGATGATGACTAGCCGCCTTTCCTCTAGTCTAGCAACTCAAAATATGCAAAGATAGTCCTTGAGTATATTTGCCGAAACAAACCAAAACACTGGGAATTTTATTACTTTATTTATTTGTTTGTTTTTGCGCAAAGCTACACAATGGGTTATATATGTAAACTTATCACTGGCCCACCAGGCGACTATTGTTTTGTTTTTTTACCTTTAGTTTAACAACTTTTCAATGAATGCAAAGTTTTAGAGCAATATTTAAATGTTCTTATACTGAAGCTTAGGAAATTCATCGGTTTGATATATGGTACTTAAAGTTCCTCCTAAATGGTTGATAATATATATCTTAATTAGTATCTCTAAAGCTGTTTTTGTACAGGAAGTATACCATTCCTAAAGAAAATGTTCTATTGTTTTTTACTGCACGACACACAAACGACAATCCAGTGAAACGAATGTAATTCTCTCCAGGTATTAGTGAACCTTTCCGCCTGAAGGATGGACAGTGGGTTGGTAGAAGATATGTCTACAGTAATCATCATATATCATCTTATAGGGACTTTGTTAGTTAAAAGTTTTACGAACTTTGCGATGCAAGGAAACTGACCGCCCAAGGTGCTGTGTTCCTAGAAAAATGTTTTACTTATTGAAGATAATGATACGACTTTTCTATTACTCCAGGTGAAAGCAAGCGACATAGACAGTGCTCCAAACGCCCAGCTGTCCTACTTTATTATAGAAGGAGATCGTTATAGACAATTCTATGTTGATAGGGAGGAGGGTTACATTGAAATAGCTGCTCCGCTTGACCGGGAAACGGTAAAACCTATCATTACTAAATCTTTTTTTTAACTTATAACTATGCCTCTTGATAGTTGTTAAATTGTTCTGAAAAGTATCTTGAAGCTTGATATTAAAAACAATATATACAGAATTTGTAACATTTGTGAGTTATCGGAATCTTGCTCACATTATTATTTTCTGTAACAATGCTCTCGGATATTTAGATTGTCTTTAACAGGCATCATGTCAGTCCAAACGGCCATTATTTCAGGTGACTATTTATCGAGTTTGTATATAAGGCCTTGCTCGTTTCTAAGCACGTTGCTAAGTGTAAAGACTGTGAATTCACGCGGTTCTACTTCAGTTAACAAAATACTATTTTGTCTACATAATGAAATTGTGAATAAATACAGTAATTAACGGAAACGCACTGCATTAAAACGATAATTCCTATCATAACACTATAAGTGTTTGATGAAATTATATTAATAACATTTTTGTGTTAGAATATTCAATAACATTCAGTAAATTCAACTTATAATTATTGAAAATTCATATGTGTCGTTCATTATAGGTTTCGGTTTAATTTGTCGAACTTTATACTTGCAGATTTCTAAATATGCATTGGAAGTGGAATGTCGTGACAGTGGGACGCCGTATCTTTGGACTCGAGTTCTTGTAGATATTGAAATATCTGACGTAAATGATAATCCACCAGTGTTTTCCAAAACTAACTACTCAGTCATCATTCAGGTACAATGTCACACTTGCAGTGGCATCTTATACTGATTTGTGTATTGAATTCAAGGTAGAATTTTTAAAATAAAACCGATCCAATGATAATTGAAGTTCACTTTTCACATTAATATATATTTTATAGCTTGGTTCATACTGTAATGAAACAAAGTAGATTGAAATTAGTTGGAAGTTTCGTCGTCATATGTTATTTCAAAATCGCCCGACAACCTGGTAATAATACGTCATAAGATAAAACACATATAAGTCTATATTGTTTTGTGGTGACCTTTCGATCTAGAGATTAGTTAATGTCGTATTTTTATATTGAAGTAATGTGCGTATTTACCTAAATTACATATTAAGTTTTCTTTTATATTCTAAGATTTGACTTTACTGGAGCTTATTCTACATAAATATTTAAACAGATACGTGATATTTTGATTATTCATTAGGAATTACCTTATTAATATAGCACGGGATTCATCTCTTGTTATTTGTATAACAAAGCCAGATATGCAAGTGTTATTTTTTGTGATTTTAAAGACATTTTTAATGCAGATAGATGAAAATAATTGAGCAGTATTTTATGTTTTTGCAGGTTGTCTTGTAATTTTTGCTTTCATAGTAATATTTACTTTTGAATTCATTAGTGTGTTATATACATATTTCAGGAAAACAAGGAAATTGGCTTTCCAGTAATTACTTTTAGTGTTAATGATAAAGATACTGTTCCAAACACCGGACCTTTTATTTTCGGCATCATCTCCGGTAACGAGGATAATTCATTCCGCATACTGCCTCAAGAAAGGGTCTTAGAAACCGCCAAAAAATTCAGTTATCAATATCGAAGCAACTACACATTGTGTATTCAGGTTACAGATGCTGGACTTCCTCCTCTTAGCAGCCAGGCTTGGGTCACGGTCCTCATTGTTGAAGAAAGCCGTTTTGCACCGAATATAATTCCACTTGAAATCATAATTACTTCCTTTGGAGTTAAATTTCCTGGGGGCATTTTGGGTCGTGTTCGAGCAACTGATGAAGATCCTTATGACACACTGAGCTTCGATATATCGTCTCCACATAAACATCTATTTCAAATTGATCACGAGGACGGAACACTATCGTCGGTACCAAGTTTGGATCCTGGTTTTTATATGATCAACGTTAGTGTGACAGATGACAAGTTCACCACGAGTAAAACTATCACTATCCAAAACAATCTGCTCACAGAAGAAGCTATAAAACATGGAGTTGTCATTCGTATAGCAAGTATAAGTTCTGAGCGGTTTCTTCTTTATTACAAAGAAAAATTTCTTGAGTTTGTTCGGAGAATTTTAAACGTTCCATTAACGAATGTTCAGATAATTAGCATACAAAAAGCAAATATGAACAACACCAAAACTACGAGAGGGACGCATCCGGACCTTGACGTATTTTTCTGTATAAGGGAAGATTCTTCCGTCTTCTACTCATCAAATTTAATCCGCAGTAAGCTAAAAGTAAAGTTGGAATCATTCCAGAAATATGTTGGGTTGGAAATCCAAGAAGTAAGTTGGAGAATATTCTTATATATAAATATTGATACAGTGTGTAAGAAATACAGTTGAAACGTCATTATAACGTTTACTTCGAAATCTCTCCTTCTGTTTTCTAAAAAAAATCCCATGTTAAAAACAACATAATAGATGTAGTGCACAATAAAAGTCCGATGGATGAATAACAACAATCTATAATACAAATGTGTTGCGTGACGCACAACCTCAGTGATAAATATTGTACAGCGTACATGCACACAGTAATGTTAATAAGTTAAAGCATTTTATAACGTAGAAGTCAAATACTGTATAGAAAACAATATCTAGAAAAATTACCTTCCTTGAAGTTCGATTAGTTTCCACCATGTGCTACTCTTAACCGGTTAAAACAATAACTCGACATAAATGATGTGGCTTCACAAAAGAACATTATAGTTAGATAAACACAATTTATTTATATATATTGTTAGAAAATCCTAAACAGTTTGTATATATATATATATTAATACAGCAGTCAACTGTGTTATAGTTCACAGAAATCTGATTAGGGGAACACAACTGTGTTGTTGTGAAATAGCTCAATGCCTTTGTTGGCTTATATCACCATTTTTTACGGTGTAATAGCACCTAAGCCCTGTGCTATTTCTATTTCATATTTCTTAAGTTTTGATGGAATGACATGGATTATACAAATAAAAACCGTGGTTCTTATAGTAACACTGTTATTTTGACGGTCTAATTTCTGAATGCACATATGTGTATTTTTAGTTATATTTAGGATGTGTAAAACGGCAGGAAAGATTACATTCCATATACAGCTCCAGATGTGAACTGTTAGGCATATGAGAAACACTAACAATAAATTTAATGCTTTGTTCTGAGCTATAACTAAATTTAGTGTTATAAGTTTTAATCTATAACAAAAATGTGTTTAAATATTCCAGTGAAATGATAAATACTTGGATACTCTAAATGCTAGAGAAGGAAATTATTAAAAAATCCAAATATTGAATTATCGAACTGTTTCTTAGTGTGCTTGTTACGTTATACGGGTTAAGAAAACAATATTGAAATAGCAGACACGATATTCAACGATGTTTATGTATTTCAACATTTCCAGGATTTCTAAACTTTAATATAAAATGTTGATTAGCAGTATTTATTGAGCCCCTGGTGGCTCAGCGGTAAGTGTGGGAGCTTATTTGAACCTTCTTTTTAATAGTTAAAACAGCTGCAAAAATATTTTGTGTCATTCACAAATCTGAATTAAAACGTAAATTTAATCCCTAACTATCACAACTTAAAAGGTATTTAAATGTTTTAGTTTTTACTAATAAGGACAAATGTACTGATTTTTGTCAACTTCCCACTTGAGCTCAAGAATAATGATCATTCCTTTATAGGAAGGTTTTTTTTGTTCATGGATAGCACCGTTTAAAATCTCTAAGGATATTTGTACATGAATCCCAGTCACACTTAGAGTCGTTGTAGCACTTTATATATCTGTGCATGTAAAATAGTAGCTGCAACCAAATACACTGTATTTCGAATCATTCATTTATGTATCACTACTACCACTGTGCGCTCGACTCGTAATCTGAAGGTCGCGGGTTCGAATCCCCGTCACACCAAACATGCCAACCTCCGCCTTTGCCTGGTCCCAAGTCCAGGATGAGAAAGGAGGAGGGTTGGGCGCGGGGCTAACAACTCCACCCCGTAAAAACCAACCTGCTACAAGAAACTGCAACAACACCTTCCGTTGGCGAGGTGTTGTTGCGGCCCTATGCTCCACTGGGAATTTACAGAAAAAAAAAACACCACTGTGAGTATGATTGTTAACCCTATACATATCAGTTCCTCTGCTCAAAAAGGATCACTGATGAAATACATTTTCGCATCAAATAATCACTTATCATTCATTCATGAGCTTAGGTCAGATAGAATATAAGATACATACAACTTTGTTGATTCTTCTTAGATATAACTTGAACGATAAATACAAAGAGAGAGCGAGAAGGTAATAAAATATTTGACTCCACGTACAGATTATGGATGACTGGTGCACCTTAGTGACCTGTGTGAACGGGAAGTGTATTCATCAGATAATGATGGATGAGAGTGAAATTAAGGCCATTAGTACCGATACCTGGAGCTTTGTGTCACATCATTTTTATCAGATGTCTAGTTGTCATTGTGAGCCAGGCTATGGTGGTGAGTTAAAAGTGAATTATATAATCTTTCACACAGTTACTTCATATATGCTATTAATTAAACTTAGCAATGTAGAATAGTGTAATATATATATATGTAATTTTATTGAATGAGCGGTAGTTTCAATAAGTCTAAACTCTCAAGGCGCATGGTAAGCAAATATAAGAAGAGGCCCTTGTGAGGGCAACCATGTCTGTGACCCCTGCGGTCGATTGTGTGGGCTACTCATGTTAACATGTATCTGCACCAATGTCCTTAGTTGTCTATCATTTTCTTTCTAAAGAATGAAGAATTAGTAAGGGTGTGGAATAGAAATAAAGTTTAAGGAATGATTAAAGAAAATCATGCAGTATTCTTATGGAGTCTTCATCTGGTATTTTATGAAAATTCTCGTATCAACCACAATTGTTGAACCGATATACTACAATAATGTATATGTCACCATCCAATAAATTTTTACACAAGCATATTCAGAGTGCTTCACAACTAGCTCAGGGTTTACAAGCTAAAAAAAATTCTACAGCTGAAGGTCGACCATGAAAATTGGTTGAAGTATTTTCATGTTATCTATTAGACCCGAAGAAAATTATCCAATGATCAGAAACTTTACTTTTTTAATCGCTGAGAAATATTAAATATATATATATAGATTTTCCTCGTCACTTGCTGATTTTAAGTAACTTTCATTTATATATGTCATTCTTTTAGAAAATGTTTACTGAAATAATTTACAATACGATATTTACATGTGTTGAAACTTAACTTGAGCATGCTAGTTTGCCATGGTTGTCAATGTTTTTATATATATATATATATATGTATATAATGCTGACGTCCCTCGGTGAATCAGTGATAAGTTTACAGATTTACAACTCTAAGGCAACTGTATAATTATGAATTAAAATAACAACAATATAACGCTGACAATTTACTTTTAGAACATATGATATATCAAACATGTAGAGATATTCCAATCCTTTAAATCCATAAATTTAAAAAAATGGCACACTCCATTTCACAAATGGCTTTTGAAATGCATAGTATTGATATGCACCCCAGTGGCACAGCTGTATGTCTGCGAACTTACAACGCTAGAAGCCGGGTTTCGATAACCGTGGTGGGCAGAGCACAGATAGCCCATTGTATAGCTTTGTGCTTAGCTTCAAACAAACAAACAAGTATCGATATTTCCTTTCATTAGTAATGTATTTGACTCATAATTCAGTTAGATAAAAAGTCTGGAAAGACTTTTCGTGAAAAAACGCGTCACACATGGGCTGTCACAATAATACTGTTATGTAATAATATTATATTGTACATTTTCAGATTTTATAACTTTATATTTTAGCACGTTTCAAGAGACAGTGCCATTAATGGTAGGGATTAAATGTCCAGCAGAATAATCTTTTATGGTTAGTGCAATTAACGTTTAAATAATTCAACAATAAAAATTGATACCAAAGTAAGAAATACTTTAAATGGTAGCAGATATTTGTACTTTTACTGTGCTTATTGAAATGATGACTAAGTAAAGTTACTCTTTTCCTTTATTTGTTTTTTACTGCATGTTGGTCTGTTTATTTGAATACGATAATATACATTAATTTCTATCTGATTAAGCTACAAAACATAAACTAATGATTCTTTCTTTTTTTTTAACCTCATAGGCCCCCATTGTGAACGAGGGGTAAGTGCTTGTACCCGCCGACCTTGTCCTTTAGAAAAAGTTTGCATTCCTGCTGCTTCAACCCTCGGATATGTCTGTGAATGTCCGAAAGGAAAAACGGGGACGTTATGTGATCGTGAAAAAAACAAATGCAACGGCTCTCATTGTTACGAAGGTAAAGTTAGCTGAATATAGATTTTCTCTAAAGAACGAAACTATGAGTTGTTCGTCCCACTTCACTATGATGTTTGTTCTCACTAACATCATAGTTATCTTTATTGCAGCCTTTCCGCCAAACCGAGGTTTTTGAAACTAATCTTTAAAAATGCGTAAGCTAATTTCGAATATTTTCGGAATGAAACCACCAGTTTGTATTTTTACATTAAACGGGTTTGCTATGTTTGTTTGTGATCGACTTTTTTGTTGGCATAATATTATAGCAGTAAAAATGTAAGTACTATAAAGTTGTTTATTAATCATTTATCTAAGTAAGACTGCTGTAAAAGTGTAAAAGATAAAGATATTTTCCCTATGTCTAAGACGTTTGAATATTTAACACTATATTTCTTTATTACAAGATACACCGTTTTGTTGTATACTGTCAATTAAAATGATAGGAAAACTGATAACGTTAGTCTCAGTAGCAACGCATGTTTATTTCATATGTTTCGGTGCTATAGAATGTCTTTCTATTACAGGAAAAAATGTCATTACTTTTGGTGGAAAAAGCTTTGCTCAGTACACCATGAACGCACCTGTCGACCACCACTTCACTGTCCACTTGCACATTCGAACTGTTCAGGCTACTGGCAACCTTATGTTTGCTTCTGGAAGAAAAGACTACAGTATTTTAGAAGTAAGCTGACATTATTTCATAATATTAGTTTCGAGTTGTAACGTCGAGTGATGATAGTATGCATTAATTTGTTATGACTGATGTTCTTTAACATCGTTTTATATATACATTTACATGACCTAGAAATAAAATTGAACCAAACGTGAAGAGTGAATTACAATTTGCCTAATTATTGAGATCATGGTAAAAGAGACAGTGTCAGTTACTAGTTTTAATTGTTTCGTTAATGTTTTCCAACGGTTTCTTAAACAGTGATTTTGCTATTTTAGTTATATTTAAATTTTCATTATAAATATTTATCAAGTAAGAAATGAAGTTGAAAATTGCATTTGTGTTGAAAAATATTAAAACTTTCCTGATATAGCGAAGGTTTAATCATTTGCATTATATATTTGTTTTTGCCTTACGAAGATTAATTTAATTATCCTGCCTACTACTGCAAAATGTATTTTCTTCCAGCCAGCTAATGTGGTACTCAGAAAAATGAGATATAAATATCTTAATGATTTGACATCTTAAACAATATTTAGGTGAATTGTCGAAGCTATGAGAAAACAATAACTTCTAAGAAGTTCTAATATTTTCCTCACCTACACGACTAGATAGCCTCATTGTCAGCATAGATTCATTCAGCAATGTTTTTAAGATATTAGTTTCTGGAGATTAGAGAATACTCATTTTACACGAGTTTAAGACATCTTAGTCTAGTAGTTAGCGTTCCAAACGTATATGGCTTGTATTCCCGTTGGCATCAAGAAAACATGTCGCGATCAGCACTTTGGGACTGTGGGTAAAATACATGAGTGAAGGTTAAAACCCACTCTTCGACTAGAGAAGTCCAATAATTTTCAATCGGTGCTGTTGACAAGCTGCTCTCCCTCTAACTTATCAGTTCAAATTTATAGTCGTCTAACACAGGTAGCTCTTGTATAGTTTGTGCAAGTATCCGAAACAAAGAAATAATCATATTACAACAGAAATAAGTTTATATTGAATTCTTGACGTGTTTTCTGTCAACCATTTAGATGATCAACGGAGCTGTTCAGTTCAGGGTGGATTTTGGCAGTGGAGAAGGTATCGTTCGAGTGGAAGATATCAAAGTAAACGATGGCACGTGGCACGAAGTCAAGGTGGAACGTAGAGGAAATACAGCAACTGTCACTGTAGATGATCTAGCCAAAGAAACGGGAGTAGCTCCTGGTTTTCACGACCTGTTGAACCTTGACGGAAATGACTTGTATTTCGGAGCAGAAGCTAGATCTTTGAGATATGATGACGTTAGAATGGGTTTTATAGGCTGCATGGCTGACATCCGTATCAATGGAGTTGTACTACCTCTAAACATTACCAGTACCAACAACGTTTCCACTCTCCGCAGGTATATTTAAAAAGCATGTGATATATAACATACATTAATTTTTATTCTTTTGGTCTGTACTTTTTTAAAGTTAGCATCGAAAAAGTTATTTACTAATTTTGGATCTAATTTTGAGAAATGAGTAATATTATATCGTATGTACGAGTATTTGTTCCACAATATCATAAATAACACAATGAACTGGAGACTATAAGACTGTATTAGATGTTTAAATGTTTTCTCAGTTCTTTGATAGTTTCTATTTGTAATGATATGTTTTATAATCTTAAATAGTATCACCTATTATGTTACAATGCCTGAAAACAATATCTTATTAGCTACTCTTTAGATTTGTTAATATAGAGTTCCGATGTGGTGAACTGGTTGACCTCGGGATATGTGGAATACAACCATGTCTACACGGAGGCACGTGCCAAGAAAATGAAAGTTCCTTCATCTGTCTATGCTTACCTCGTTTTCTTGGAATCAATTGTGAAATAGACACAGATCCTTGTGCCTCTAACCCTTGTCTCTATGGTGGTACCTGTCGCAACCAGAGCAATGGTTATCATTGCGAATGTCTGCCTGGTCATAGTGGTACTCGGTGTGGTTATGGACATTTCTGTAATCCGAATCCTTGTCAGAATGGAGGCATATGTGAAGAGGGTACGTATGGACCAGTGTGCAAATGTCAGGGTTTCCATGGTGACAGATGTCAGTTAGATTTGGATGAGTGTCAAGGGGATCCTTGTGGAGTCGGAGCAACATGTATCAATTTTCATGGAATGTTCCAGTGTCATTGCCAACCTAACATGACAGGACCTCTCTGTACTGAACCTCTCTTTACTGCGTCGATCACTTCCACAAGCATGAATACTACCCTGGAAGAAATCATTGGTATTGTGTTGATGGCGGTGTTTCTTCTTGCTGTATCAGTCGGAATGGTATGTTGCTGTAAACGATATCATCGCAAGTGTCATCAGGGACAGAGAAATAATAACTTACAGGATGACTCCATCACAAATGAAATGATGGTGAAGAATTCTGTGTTACATCGAGATGACCATAAACATATAAACAAGTTGACCAATATAGAAGATACCTCATTTACTAGACCAACAGTACCCCCTAGACCCAAAGGCTACACCCCAAGTATACAAGAATCTTTCAACAACTTGGACACGGCCAGATCATATGAGCAGGTTTCAGAAGATTTGGAGACCTTCCCTCGATACAGTAAAGCTCTTCCACGGATCAAGAAACGTCTCCAGACAATAAGGAATCTGTCTTCCGTCCCCAAACTAGCGTCTTCAGACAAATCCGGAACCTCTAACAACACCATTGCAAGAAATGGACTGGAAGAAAAAGTTCAAAATGGTAAAACTCTCTCTTAGTGAATGAAATCTTATAGTTGGCACGTTATATATGGTATTATGCCATCTTCATTTCTCATAAAAATGATAATGCACAGAACAGAAAATGTTGACCGCATTTCGAGTCAGGAGTGAGAACTACTGAAAACTGATCAATAGTATTATCAGAAAAAAATTAAACATTCTGATTATAGATGTTCGTCTAATCGTTCTTCCCGCAATCTTCTTCTTTTTTCTCTATTTCTAATATACACTCATAGAAAAATTGCTTAAGTGAGTAGATAAACATAAAATAAATTTTCTTGACAACATTTTACGCACTACAAATTTAAGATCATATAGTCTACTTGGTCTGATCATTAAAGCACGATGAAATAGAAAAGTTAAGACAGAGGGCATAATAGGGATCTTCATTATACTTTGTTGTTCTCTCTATGTATTATGTTTTTCTTTATTTACTTAGTCGTCAACTTATAAGTTATTCATAAACATGAAAATACAAAATTTCATTAATTCCATTTGGAGCATATACATGTCTTAACAATAAAATAGCTTTGAAAAATTACTATATGGTTTTGTTAATTTAGCAATAACATCGTGGCTACTATATATTAAGGTCTCAGTGGGTGTTGTTAAAAATAATAATTTTTAATTGCCTACGAATAATGATTCTCTATTGTCACTAACTTTCAGATGACCGTGAGCTGAAGAACGAGGATAATCTGGAACAAGGTAGGAAAGAAAAATAACAATTTATAAGCATAATTAACTGTTGTTGTTGTTGTTATTCTGTTTGGGGGTGGTGGGAGGACATGTTGTATGTTTCCCCAAACAATAAACCACTTCATTATGCTTATAAATCGTTCTTTGCAAGTTCATTATTATATTAACATAATGTGCTTCCAAACTCAAATATTTTCTTCTTGTATTGGTAGTACGAGGTTGCAGTTCTTATACAATTGTCCGTTGAATAGTGTGCACATTCTTTCGAAACTTTCGTGGTAGTGATACCCAATAATATTTTATTTTAACATGTTACAATTATGTAAGTAATTTGTTTTCATACTATCTGGGTTATTATGTCCTACAGTAAGTAGTGTACCAAATGAAAAAGACAATTTCAGTGGATAAAATGTGTACGATATATAGTGGCTTATTCTGTTGATGAAAATGTGTACTATATATAGTGGCTTATTCTGTTGATGAAAATGTGTACTATATATAGTGGCTTATTCTGTTGATGAAAATGTGTACGATATATAGTGGCTTATTCTGTTGATGAAAATGTGTACTATATATAGTGGCTTATTCTGTAGATGAGAGTGTATTGTATATAGTGGCTTATTCTCTAAATGAGAGTGTACTGTATATGGTGGCTTATTCTGTGGATGAAACTGTACAATATATAGTAGCTTATTCTATGGATGAAAGTGTATATATATATATATATATATAGTGACTTATTCTATGCATGAATGTGTACTATAAATATAGTGGCTTGTCCTGTAGATAAAATGTGTACTATAGTGGTTTTTCCTGTGGATGGCGTGTGCATCTTAATGGTTCTTTCTATGGTTGGCATATCCACAGTAGTCATTCTTTCTTTCTTTGTGTGTATACAGAGCCTTAACGTTTTTCTATGGATTTAATATGGTACGTTAATACTTCTCTATGTGGATGTCATGTGGTACCACAGTGGTTTCCTCCGCAACTGGCATATAGAACCATAATAGTTTTTCCTGTATATCACATACAAAACTCTGTTGAGATTTTTCATAACCACTAAACCAGAATTTTCTTTCAGCTTTGTCTCAGTCATTTGAAACGTGCGTGTCTTATCAGTGGAAAAGTTTTGGAAGATTAAAGTATTGTTTATTTAAGTATTATTTTGATCAGACATAATTCTAAAACGGATCTTGGACAGAAATATTTGAAGCCCCCAAGTGTTTGAAGGATCTTTATAGCATTATCAAACGGTTGAAACCTCTTATGGGGGCAGTAAAGAACCCATGAATTATGTCATATGTGAAGCAAACCATTGAACTCTTTAAGACTATACCTTGGAGTTTTTAACTTAATAATGGAGAGAATAATCTCATAATTTACAACACAAATATTTTGCTCAAATCTTAAGTGTGTTGTACAAATGATAAGATAAAGAACAATGATTATTTATCATTTTCAAGAAGAAATATGATAGTGAATAAATATAAGATAATGAGAAAAAGATAATGAATTACAGATAGTTAGCACAGAATAGAAATTCAGTGTTATGATTCATCTTACTAGTTGTAATCGTAATGAACATTTGTTTTATTCATCTAATAATCAGATTATCAGATGCATAAGTCCTACTCTGGAGCCTCTGTTCGCCGTCATCACAGCATATCCATAACTTCTTTCCGGGCAGGGGGCGTTGTACGAGAACCAGATGGGAAGGTTCACCTAGTCTCTAGCAGAGACGAGCACTACCATACGGATTTAGATCGCAGCTATGAAAAATTGAAATGTGACAAATTGGGACTCCAAGCGGAAAGTGAGAGAACTATCCCACTTCACTCATGTCAGAGCGTAGAGTTCTATACCGGTGTAACGCCTGACAGCAGACACTGTACTGTAACGCCCTCTTCAGCACACGAAGAATGTGAATATAAAGACATTTCTTCCAGAGCCTGTAACGTGCACTGTAATCATCAACCATGTACATGCCTAAAAGAACCCCATCATGATTTTTCAGATGATGATGATATTGTTTCATACGGTTTCCCGTCACAAGGATGCAAGGGTTTCATGCTCGAATTAGCTTACAGCATTAGTGATCCCAATATCCCCCACTCTTGCGACCATGGCAACCTAGCTGAAACTGTTGGACAGTATCCCTATCCCGCCACAATTTCTAGTCCGATATCCAGCGTTGTTCCACCAGGGTTTAGAGATAATGACGATTTCGAAGTGGTGTACAACATGAGCGTAACCGACTCTTCCAATAGACTTTCCTCGTTACAACCCAGTGTTTGAATGAATGAATGAAAAATAACTCTGAATTAATCAAGATAACATTACATTTTATTTAATGCGTAACTAGGTTTATGGAAACAGTTATTTATCAGTATATATAATACATGACTGTAACAACATACTGTAAGTAATCATTACAGGAGTGGATTTTGTTTTGATGTTCCGTACATTACATTATTGCCAAAATTTTGTCAGATAAATATACATTTCAATGTTTATAATTTTTGTCTGTAAAACATTTTGTCACTCCATTAACATAGATATAAATGCATTTGACTAAATAAATGTAAAAGTGCCTTACTTCTCCTGGGTGTGGTAACAATAGTAATTTAATCATCTTGCCTTTATCTTACCAGGAATGAGAGATGATTGATTGATTAATCAACATGTACAGATGTGAATTAGTAAAAAATATTAAAAGAGGAATATTCATTCATAATTGTTCCTATTTTATAATTTATTATTATTTTACAATGTAGTATTTTAATTATATTTTTTTTCCATTTCCGTACTTTAAAAATTTTGTTGCTACTTATGCTTGTAATGCGTGGAAAGGAAAACTATGATGTAAAATAGCTAACGAATTATAAAACTTGTAAAACAACTCGTACGTTTGTTTACGCATTTTTACAAATATGACTTATAATGCATGGCAAATGTCTTTTGTAAGTATTTAATGAGACAATTAATGTTTCTGATATACATCTATACCGTAAATTTCACCTGCTAGAGCTACAAAATTATCCATCACAAGTTATTGCGTCACAAAAGACTCTTCTGTATACATTTTACAATGATAGACGACTTTTTAACATTTTGGCTGGATGTAACGAAACTAGCCCTTTGGCGATTTGCGACTGGTTGTAAGCTTAAAGTACGAAGAATGGGGGTTGTATTTGAAGGTTGTATCTGTCTCAAATGGTTTTCATTAGGTGTAAGAGTCCTTAATTTAACACAGATATTTGCTATTTTTCTTTATATTTACATATCAGTAATGCTTAAGATCTTGACTTGTCAGAAATTAGACATACTGATATAGTTATAATTTTTTTTACCAGAATCGATATATCTAGCATTTAAACAATCATGTCAAAATATGGGACATGGGTCAAACTTAAATATAGAATTCACGTATTTTAATGTTCTCAAAGGCCAATATCTCAACACAATGACACATCAAGTGTTTTTCTTATCAACCAGATGTGTTGTGTGATAGATCAGTTTATAACTCTAGGAATTGCGGTCAGAGATAACATTTATGGAAAGCGTTGTAACATTTTGTATTATATTATTTCCATGAAAAATGTCTTATTACATTAGGAAGTAATGTTTCACTTTGTCAGTGACTCAATACCTCAACTGAACTCCGATAAAACAAACAAAAAGAACGTACAGTAATGTGGAACTTAGAAAGCATATACATTAATGACTAAACGAATATAATAAATATATAAAATAAAACAATGCTTATAACAGAGAACTATGGAAGATGTACACAAGGAATCATCCATTATGTCTATTAGAACTATTTAAATATTCATTTGAAAACTTTTTTTTTCATATTTAGAGCGGCTAGACTGGCTAATATACTTGTCTAGGGAGCCATGAGTTTTCAAATGCTTCATAAACATTAATCCCTCAGTTTGTTTTTCATTATATACAAATTGTACTATATACGTTTTTCATTACATCGCAATTGCAAAATACGCATTTGTTCCTTTCACAGATTTAATCTAAATTTAGTTTCAGATGTTAGTCCCTGGCAAAGTAATGAAAGTGAAGAACTGCACAAGGAAAAATGTTTGTCATAGCACGCATAGAGATAGAGTAAAGCAGTAGTACATTGGCGAACGTCAGAGAAAAATCAGGAACTGTTGTGTACCATTAACATGTTGGCAGTAGGTTATCATGCCCAAAAAAACAATCATGCGGTTGGCTTAAGTAAAGCACAAATAAAGGGTAAAGAGGAAAACACAAAAAAAGGAGGAAAGTTAAGAAGACATCTATATCCAGTATCATGATTCGAACCATTCAGCCGTGGGTGGCAAAACTTCTTGAAAATATTAAATATCTCGTAAATATTGGATTTGAATCTAAGTTTGAAATGGACATCAACTGCCTGTTGTAGAAACCTACAGTTGCTGTCCATTTCAAACTTAGATTCATTATGAATACTCTGCCTAAACAACCTATCAAAGAATATTGGATCTGTCATAAAATTTAATCATAAGCCTATATTTTGTTAATCTAAATGCCATAATAATTATTAATTAACATGAGATTCTAAGTAAAGAACGTTTATTGTCTGAAAATTAATTCCTTCTCTTATTCACATAATATTTAATTTTTTTAATTTAAACGTTACAAACATTGTAAATTAAAAAGGAAGCTTAAGGAAATAAATTATTGTTTTAAACGTGTTATCTTATTCATATATTTCTCTTTATATTTTCAATTATTATGATTTGACAACAAATTTAGCTATAGGTGACAAAAATTATGTATAATTTAATAGTAGAAATTGTTCCATGAATATATACCGGTATTATTTAATTACACTAATTTATGGAAAGCTTCAGAATAGAGGTCGAAAGTTCAAAATAACGATTTTTTCTTGGTTTAAAATTATTATTTAATTTGATCATCCTAACTCACTAATAAATGGTCGTTTCAAATACGAATATAATGTTGATAGCTCATTGTGCAATACGCAATTTAAATTTAAATTTACTTTATTATTTGCCTAAACACAAATTTCCGAATAACTTAAATACCATAATTTTTATCCTGTTTAGAAAGATTGAAACAAAGCTGCACAATTCTTTATCTTTAAAGTAATGCTAAATCTTTTTTAAATAAGCATTTGAAGTTCTAATCAGGTTAAAGGGAATCACGTATGTATCACAAAGATGCTTTGTGATAATGACATTTATACTAAAATACGGTTGTAAAATAGTACACTTTTTATTTCTTCAATATTATTTTGATACATTGTTAAATTTATTTTATCCAATCAAAAGATGGCGCTGTCATTTCGAAAGAAGTATTTTGGTATTAAACGGAACAATTTTAATTAGACTACAGAACTTTCTGAATAATAGCGATCTGTCTCTTTTAATGCTTTAAACGTTGAAACTGTTATTAAATTTTACATTTTCTTTGCTCACAAGCATTAGTGGTTAATGTCCTGGCTTAGAAATGTAAGGGTGCGTGGTTCGCATTCCACTGACGTAAAATTACTCCGAACTTTGGAGTAGTGGGTGTACCTCCAGAGTAACTGTGAAATTCCATCGTTCGATTAGTGTAGCCCAAGAGTTAGTGCGATTGACTAGCTGCCTTCCCTCTAGTCTATCAGTTCAAAATTAGGGGCGGTTACAGCAAATATCTCTAGAAAAACTTTGCAGAAACTTCCGGAACAAACATAACATTAAGCATTTGTATAAGAATTTGTTAATTTTACAATCTTTGAAATTTTGATGAAAACAGATACTAAATTACAAGACAATATCGTTATATAAAAATGGTTTGTATAACTTATGATCGTCATAAATATCGAGGTGAGTTAATATACGTTTAATCAGTAAATAATTATCTCTTAACACTAACTTACACTTTAAGAAAGTACAGAAACAATAAATTTAACAATTTTTTTCAACTTACAAGGTCAAACTACAAACTCTACTAGCAAATATAATTTAAATTTTGGAGCAATGCAATACCATTGTTGTTTTGGTATTTATTAAAATATGTTTTATTTTAGATTAAATATCGTTGATTATGTTTTGAAAAGTAATGCCATTTATTACAGAATATCATTGCATACAGAGAGAGAAAAAGCCAAGACACTTCAATAGCTCTAAATACGTTAATAATGAAAATATAATTGAAAACCGCCACCGGATCTTAATATAAATATTTGCTCATTTTTGTAAATAAGAAAACACTTTCTTTCTGTTAAAGATATTTACAGGCAGTGCTACTTATTATTATGTCTCTGGAAAATTATAATTATCACTCAAAACGAAGAGGTAATAGTACAAAATATATATAAATACAAGCAAAAGTACCCGTCCCCAGTTACGGGAATAGTTTATTTTAATCTATCAATTTAAATTATTTCGTAGACTTTAAAAAAGGTTAATTGTATATCACTCTTGGTTTCATTCAGAGCAAGGCTCTGAACTACTTATACCGCCCACAGCGAAAAGTAATTGTTGACCATTCCAGTCACGATAAGAGCCGATCAACAATACGGTAAATCTACATTTGTATTCTTTAAGTTACGTCGCATTTTGAAATATGAATGATTGTGTGATCAATTCCTAACAATTTAGTGTAGAATATCCTGCTTGCGAAATAAAATTTGGTATCAACATTATTCATGCTTGTTCTCCCGTCATTTCATATCTGCGCCAGCTGTCCCTAATTTTGCAGTGTAAGAATAGAGGGAGGCAGCTAGTCATCACCGCCAACTCTTGGGCTACTCTTTTTCTAACGAATAGTGGGATTGACCGTCACTTTATAACGCTCTCACGACTGAAAGGGCGAGCATGTTTGGTGGGACGGGGTTTCGAACCCGCCACCCTCAGATTGCGAGTCGAGCGCCCTAAACACTATACAGATTTTCGTAAAATCGTACACATATGCAAATATTGAACTCAGTAAGAATTGTCTTCTTATACACGAATGAAGTATATAAATATCTACTCGGAAACATTCTCTTTTTTTTTAAGTTTAGCTCGAAAAAAGTATACTGTGACGCGTAGGATTGCTTAGATATGATATTGATTTATGATGCTGGATGAAAATTGTGTTAACCTATCATGATGAGGGTTTTGTTTTCTGATGAGAGAGAGCTCGTTCTATTGCAGTTCTATAAATCAACAAAGACGACGATGTTTTCCACCTAGGAAGTTAAGCAAAACTTTGATTATAAACACTAAACTGTTTAATGGTCAAACAATGAATGGAATTCAATAATTAAAGCAGAGTTGGTGATTCAATGATTATAGAGTTATTGGTTATAACAAATATCTGTTTTTATACTAATTTCCCGAGTACCAATTTATCTCATAGTGTTTTTTATAAACTAATGTTTTGTTACTTTAAAGCATATCCTTCAATAAGTATAGCTGACAAAATAAGGGATGTAATTATAAATATTGCAGTGTGAGCAAACGGTTTGAAAGTAATTATAAAATACGTAATCGTCAGAAATATTTTTACTTAATTACAACAGCAATACTTAATTATTAACTATCTGTGCTCTGCCCACCACAGGTATCGAAACCCGGATTCTAGCGTTGTGAGTCCGTAGACATGCCGCTGTGCCACTGGATGGCGTTGTTATTACTTGATCCTGCAATAGAAAATTTAAACTATTCACAATAGACAATGATAATTAAATTTTCTTTTAAAAATAATTTGTTGAATACGAAGTTTGAATAACCATTTTTCTTCACGCAATTAAGGTTAATAAGTGCGTCAATGGACAAAATATAACATTAAAATATTAAATTATATCAACCAGTACACGATTAAATATTTTGGTATTTACTTGTCATCATTATGACCCAACGTTTAGGTTTTTTAACCAATTTACATAATTTCGTACTAATAATTGAAAAATATAAAAACTTAATCATGTAATTATATGTGAAAATTTGTAAACCTAACTTCAAAATCAGTCAAAAGATGGCGGTTACATAATGTTTCTCAAAGTTTTTATTTGTTGTTAAACGCAAAGCTTCATGATGGATTATCCGTCCTTTTCTCGAAACCGAGTTTTAGCGTTATAGGCCCTCACACTGAAACACTGGGGAACACTTCTAAAAGATTCCATATCCGAAATCGATATCTGAAAGTATATTTACAGGCATTTTAAAGTTGGAACAATAAGATTACCTACTAACTTAGTAATATTACGAAATTTTAGTTTTGCTTATCATTAATTAATCGAAAGGAAAACTGATCGGTAATGTTAATCACGGTACTTACTGATACGTTTTGATCATTTGATTTAATCAATTTTTTAATTTCTGCTCTTTGTGAAGGAATTTTGAGAGGGAATTTACGTTAAATACTGGCCTACAATATTAAAATAAAGGTAAATTTAATTAAATTATTAACATTTATGATAGTTTAGTAAATCGACTGTTAGTTTGCTAAATAGTTTGCAGAATTTTAGCGTATCGCCTCAGTCACTATGTAAAAATTTGATTGAACCATTTGTCTGTTGAAAAATTCCAAACATGAAATTTTATATTTGTCTATGAAAAAAGACACATAAATATGTAATTTAAGCATAGAATACGAGTGACTATTACAACTAAGTCAATAATACGTAACAGTTACGTTGGTGTAGAAACATTAATGTATCAAAACGTTTTCACACTCTTCTTGGTTCGTGCACTGTAGAAATCTAAGAACTAGTGTAAAAATGGTAATGGACATTGTGTGGTGTAAGTTGACTCATATTTCAGTCATCCAAACAAACCAGCAGTGACAAACGCGTTACAGCACATGACCAACAAATACTTGGCAAATAAGAAAATATTCTCTGAGTAAGAAAACCTACATCTAAAGATGACGCCACTAGTATAAGTGACAAAAATTGGCCAGAGAATTTGTTTCTTGTTATTTAGTTGTACCCCTCTGGTATTAATATTTGCTTAATATCGCCGTGGTTTAAAGTGCACGAGGGATTTAATGCAGGTATGGGTGAGTTCATGGTGTGACACGCGGATTAGGGATTTTTGTTGTTCCAAGGTGCTTCTCGATTTCTTCTCTTGCACTTTGTTACCCATTATCTTTCAGCTGTTTTCGATAGGATTGAAAACTGGGCTGTTGCCTGGCCAGGGTAGTATCTTGACCCTTTTCCTTCGGATATAGTTCTTCACCTGAAGAAAGGAAATAAACTTAAGATGTCTTTTCAATACGAGTAGAATGAATGTTTTTCGGTATTTCACGTCAACTGCATAGAGTACATGAATATTAACAACCTTTTTAGCTCTGTGTCGTAGAGTAGGGTCATCCTGGAATGTTCACTGGTCAGCTCCACCCAAGTGATCCCAATATACTTGTCGGCATTGACTGTGCCTTTCACAAAAAGCAGGCGTCCTACTCCCTGACTAAAGATGAGTCGCCATATAACCTAATCCTGCTGATGCTTTGCA